CTGCCCATGCTTGATCTTGGACTTTCCAGCCTCTGGTATTATTTGAAATGCATTTCTGTTATTTGTAGGCTACTCTGTCTTAGGACATTGCAGCAGCCTGAATGGACTGAGACAGGGCCAATGAACTGAGAAGAAGGCCTTACCCTGAGCCAGGAAAGACAGCATATGTAGATGACTAGGACGTTTGTTGTTAAAAGTGGCTCGAAGAGCTTTTGTGATAAAAACAGTGTGGTACGGGCAAAGAAATGGAACTGAAGATCAGTGGAACAGATTAGAAGATGCACAAAGAACCTCAAGCACACTTGGCCACCTCATCTTTGACAATGGGGCCAAACAAGTTCACTGGAAGAAAGACAGCCTCTTTAATAATTGGTACTGGAAAAACTGGCTTTCCACATGCTGAAGACTAAAACTAGAACCATGTCTCTCACCATGTACTAAACTAAAATCAAAATGGATCAAAAAATCTAAATTTTAAAACAGAAACACTAAATCTGCTGGAAGAGAGAATAGGCAGAACACTTGTAGGAGCAGACAAAGACTTCATGAACAAATCCCAGACCATTGGATTACAAAGAATCAACCATTGGGATTTCATCTTATTAAAAAGCTTTTGCACAGCAAAAGACACCACAACAGAGTGGAAAGATAAACCCACATGGTGGGAAAACATTTTAGCCAGCTGTTCCTCAGACAAAGGACTGATAGCTAGAATACATAAAAACTTGAAAAAAGTCAACAAATTTAAAGACCCAATTCAAAAAAGGGCATCTGAGATGAACAGACACTTCTCAGATGAAGAAGTAGAAATATTAGATAAATACATGAAAAAATATTCAATATCACTGGTCATTCAAGAGATGAAATTAATGCTGAGATTCCATCTCATTGTAGAGAGAATGGCTGCTATCAAGAAATCAACCAACAACAAATGCTGGTGGGGCTGTGGGGAAAGAGGAACCCTGCTCTACTGTTGGTGGGAGTGCAGACTGGTGCCACCACTGAAGTGTGGAGATTGTTCAGAAAACTAGGATTAGGTCCCATTAGACCCAGCTATCTTCCTGCTCGATATCTTCCCAAGAGGCAAAAGCATCATACCACAGCGATATATGTGCACCCATGTTTGTAGCGGCACAGTTTGTAACAGCTAAAACTTGGTAACAGCTCAAATGCCCATCGGTTGATGAATGGATTAAAAAAAAAAGGTGTGTTTTTTTAAAAAATGTAATGGAGTACTTTTTAAGCCATAAAGAAGAATGAACTTGGGACATTTCTAGGTAAATGGATGCACTTTGAGAACATACTCTTAAGTGAAATATATTGAACACGTATAAATATCGCTTTGTCTCTAGTGTGACAAACTAAAAGTGAAAATAAAAACCAAAAAAAAAAAATGAAATAGGAAGAAATTGTTCAAAATTATACAGAATGTGAGATACTTTGTCAGTACTTAAAATGTTTTATACAAACTAGGAAATGAGCTGAGAGATAAGATTAGCATATTAAAATATATTCTTTTAAGATGGTACGAGGTGTATTTACCGTGGTTATTCTCTAACAATTTTTGTTATGAAAAATTATTTTTTCATGGAACAGCCTTTTTTAAATATCTACTTGTCTTACATTAAAATAAAAAATTACAGTGGCTCAAAGGACAATACTCAAAATTGAATTAAAAATTTTGTTAAAGTGCATTTCTAACTCTGTGTCTTAGTTTCACCAGCTTTCTTCTTTTCACATAGTTGTCTTAACTCCTTTGATGAATACATACATTTAAAAAAAAAATCTTTGTTTTCAGACTGTATTAGTTTAAAACCTATGGCGCATGCGCCACAGCGGGCATGCAGCGCTCTTTCCGCGTGAGCCATGTGTATGAGTTGGTTTTTTCTAAACTAAAATGTCAGCGTTCAGGTTTAATTGCAGTGTTGGCACTTGCAACAAATGTGGGTTTGGGTTGCAGTTTGGGCATTGGCCTCTAAAAGGTTTACCATCACTGGCTTAGAACAATCCCTCATGTATATGGGGAGAGAACTAAGTGTCTGGGCACCTGTAGAAGTTTTGCATTTGCTGATTTTCCCCTCCTGGTAAATCTGTGAAGTACATGGTATCGTACCTACTTTTACAGATATAAAACTGAAGCTCTGAGAGATTGTTTTGCCCAGCCTAAGTATCATATGTTCCAAGGTAGATATTTAGGTCTATGTGTAACATTTCTTTTCCCAAGTATCTAATAATGTAGTATGGGAGATACATATGAATAAATTACAAAGCTGTTTAGTAGGTTATGCAACCATTAAGATGAGCAAGAGCTCTGTGTTTATTGTCATTGAAAGATACTTATTGAGAGAAGTACAGATTAGAGAACAGAATGGAGGTTGCTATCCCATTTATTCACTAATTCAGCAAATATATTTGAATACTTTGAGCTAGGGTTCTATCAGTTGGGCTATTTGAATAAACGAGTCCCTCCTCTCATGGATCTTGTAGTCTAGGTTGTCAGGGCACAGGTGGGATTTTAAGAGGGACGTTGGGAATAAAGTCACAGAACTGAGTTCATTCATAACAGATGTATAATTGTTGGGAGAGGACCCTCCCTTTCATTTCTGCATATCCTGTGAGCAGAGACACTTAGCTGCTTTATTTGGAACTCTCTTCAGTGAACCTGGTGAGCAGTTTGGAAAATGTACTGTATCCAGGGGCAGAGGATAAGCTTGTTCATTGTCTGGTACAATAAAAGTAGTACCTTCTGAGCTGGGCCTGGTGGGTGGCTCGGGTCTATAGTCCCAGCACTCGGGAGGCTGAGGCAGAAGGATCGCCATGAGTTCAAGGCCAACCTAGGCTACATAGTGACTTTAGGGTCAGCCTGACCTACATAGTGAGACCGTATTATCTCAAAAAAAAAAAAAAATGTCGTCTAGACAAAGATTAGGCAAATTTTCTTGATAGAAAGTTTGGAATCCCGTATCTTGGGGTTCCTCAAACCCTCTCACAGCATTCAGGCCTCAGATACCACACCTACTCAGGAGGTGAAAGGAACCACCGTAACCCGAAGCATGCACTGCTTGTGTGCTGAGGGTGGTAAAATCTTTTGCCTCTGACATCAGTCTTATGTCTTCTGCCAGCATCCAAGAAATGATGGCAGACTAATTGGCTGTCTTGCAAATAGGCCAGACCTGCCAGTTTTTAATAGCATTTGGTTAGGAGTTTACTTTTGAAGAGCTCAGCTTTTTAAACTCAACACTTTGTATTTATGGTGTCTTTTAGCTTCCAGGGCACACTCTGTGGGGTGTCTGTAGGGCACAGTTTCATCTCTGAAGTTACATCAGAATGTCATTCAGGACCTGCTTGACTCTGCCACATCTCGGTACCTGTTCACAGGCACACATTTCACCCCGAGAGTCCTCGCTAGAGCAGCTCACTTTATCTTCTCTTCTTTTGTGTCCTGCCATTTTCTCTAGATCTGAATTTTCAAGCCCAGATTTTAAAAAATTGGAAACAAAGTTTATCATATTTTAGCATTTCAATGAGTTCTGATTGCTGTCATATTGTTAACTTTAACATTTTATTAACTCTTAATTTATAACTCAGTGGGATTACCAAGCCTGCCTTTGGCCAAAAGAAAATGGATTTTTAAAAAAATCTCATATAGCTCATAACTTTTTAGAACTGAAAATAGAATATGAAAGTTTGTTATACAAAGTACTCTCTAGCTTATGAAAACATTTCACTGAATTTTAGGTGGTTTTAGTCCAATAAATTTAGGAATCATTGGGGATTTTCCTCTCCAAGTTTCTTTTTGTAACCTATGTGTTTATTATCCTTTCTGTAGTCACCTTACCAGTTATGAATAAGAGGGAATAAAATTTAGCTCCAGGGGATTTTGATCTTTACACTCAACAGCAAGGAAATGTAATAAAGAAGTTTGTCCTTTGTGACAGTATGGAGAGCATAAAATTACACTTGAGAGCTCAACAACCTGATGACTTACTTGTTGCTCTTTGTTATAAATTTGGAAGCCTTTCGTCACAGATTCTGAATAAACATGCTTTCTGGTGTATCTTTGGTAAAGATTCATTTCTTGGAGATACTTCTTTTTTTCAAAAAAGGCATTTTTGTTTGTTTGTTTGTTTTGAGACAGGGTCTCACTATGCAGTTGAGATTGACCTGGAACTCACTATGTAGTCCAGGCTGGTCTCGAACTCACAGCGATCCTCCTGCTTCAGCCTCCCAAGTGCTAGAATTACAGGCATGTGCCATCACGCCCAGCCCAAAAAAGGCATTTTAACCTATTTTTACACTATTGTAACTACTTTGCTACTGATGACATTTAGGCTGATGGTATTTCGTCATTGTAAAGTTAACTAAAATTAAGATGTGTTTAAAAATCAGTGGCATTGTATTATCGTTGTTTGGCATCCTGTTTAAAGTTGAAAACCTTGCTGGGCTTGGTGGTGCACGCCAGTAATCGCAGCACTGGGGAGGCTGAGGCAGGATTGCTGCAAGTTCGAGGCCAGCCTGGCCTGTATCAAGGCCCGCCTAAACTACGTAGTGAGGACCCGTATCCCCAGTCGAAAACCTTGCTCTACCGTTGCCTTCTATCCCCTTTTCCCACTTCAGTGTTTTCCTTAACTGACATGTTGCTTATTGTTTTTACCCTTTTTTGCGATCTTTTTCTGTTTTTATCATGGTATTTCTAGCTTCTAGAACATTACCTGGAACAGTGTGAGTACTAAATAAGTATTTGTGGAATGAATGCAGAAAAGATAGGAGTGGTCCAGACACCACGCCATGCTCCTTTTGCCCTTGCATCAGGAGGTGGTGCTGTTGGCGAAACTAGGATTTGTAGGTGAATTGCCCAATATCCCTCAGTTTATAAACGGTGGAGCTGAGTTAGAACTTTAATCTACCTTATACCACATCCTAGCTCTTAACTTCAGTGTGATACATTTCTGAACATTAGATTGTGTGGTTTATTTAGTTCTTTCTTTCTTTTTAAACAGGAAGAAAGGAGTTTATCCAAAGATTGAAACTTGAAGCAACTCTAAATGTACATGATGGCTGTGTAAGTAATGGTTAATTCTGAACCTTAAAGGGCTTTAACAGTGTGTTTAAATGTTTGATGAAATGCCGCAGTCCTCCTACAAGGCATTGTGAGTAACTTTAATAAAATGAGAATAAGGTTTTATATTAGGCATTAAAGTACATTTGAATTTAGAAAAATGTGTGCAGGGTTTTTTTTTAAAGCGTTCTAACACGAAAAGGCTTCAGTCTTGTTCGCTGTATGAAAACTGCTTTTGTGACAGTTAAGAGTGACTTGTAACTCCAGATCCTAGTGGTCACTGCTCAAACTTTAGCTATCATTTGAACATTTTTTTTTTTTTATCTTCCTGCTAATACCACATTCTCTTGCTTTTCTTCTTTTCCCAGTGACTGGCTCTTCTCTGTCTTCTTAGGTGACTCTTACACTTCTTACCTTCAATTGTTGGGTGGACAAAGGCTCTGCCCTGGGCCCTTCTATTCCTTTCTCTTCAGTAACGAGTGAGCCGGTCCAGTCCCCTGGCTAAAAGTGATGTGACTTTCATCTTTCACAAAACGCCTCTTTATACATCCATTTCTTCTCAACATTTTCAGTTGTGGATCACATATGGTGCTCTGAATTTATTAACAGGTCCTAAACAGGACCCCTTTCTGTTTCATTTTTATTATGGAAATGTCAGACGTTCATTTCATTGCCCTGATTTAGTAATTATCATGATTTTGTCACATTTTCTTCTCTATTTCCATTTTCTTTTTCTATTATATGTTGTTAGTGCCTGTAAATTTTACAGATTAAATTTCATTATATTTTCTATGAATATAGCATTTTGATCATATCCATCCTCCCATTACTTTCTACTAACTCCTACTTCCCCTTCCTTTTACTCCCTATCTTGTCTAATGATAATTTCCTTCCACTTTCATGCCATCTTTTTAAAAAATTTCACATATTAAGGAAAAAAATGAATACTCGAGTTTTTGAGTCTGACTTATGTCACTCAACTCCATTTCTTGCAAGTGACATAATTTTATTCTTTTATTGTGTGTGTGTGTGTGTGACTGGGGATTAAATTCGGGGCTTTCCCATTGTGCTAGATCACCAGCAAGACAGGGTCTTGCTAAGTTACCCAGGCTGTGCTCAAACTGTGACCCTCCTGCTTCAGCCTCCCAGGGTACTGGGATTGCACATCCATGCTTCTGTGCCTGGCCAATTTTATTCTTATTTATGGCTGAATCATACTCTATTCTGTATATGCCTCATTTTATTTATACATTTATCTATTGATGGGCCCCTAAGCTAGTTCTATATATTGGCTATTCTGAATTGTGCCACAGTAAACGTGGATATGTTGATATTCCTATAATATGCCAACTTTTTTAGGGTAATATCAAGTAGTAGTGTAGCTGAGTTGTATGGTTTGAAGAGCCTCCATACTGATTTACATTTCCATCAGCAGTGTGGAGGAGTGTCTCTGCTTGTCCCCACCAGCATTATCATTTTTGTGTTCTTGGTGATGACCGTTCTGATGGGGATGATATGGAATCTCATGTAGTGTTCAGTTGCATTTCCCGAATGCAGCATATGTAGAACTTTTAAAAAATACAACTTCTTTTGAGAATTATCTGTTCATTTGCCCATTTATTGCTTTAGTATTTGTTTTCTTGGTGGTGTTAAGTTCTTTATTTACTCTAGATATTAATCCTCTGTTGGAATAGAAGCTGGTAAAGATTTTCTTCCATTCTGCAGCTGGTTTTTTTTGCTTTGCAGAATTTTTCTAATTTGCTGTAGTTCCACATAATGATTCTTGTTATTATTTCCTGTGTTATTGAAGTCCCATTTAGGAAGTTTTCTATGCCTTGGCTTCAAGTGTTTCCCCTATGTTTTCTTGTAGCACTTTCACAGTTTTAGGTCTCATACTTAGGTCTTTGATCCATTTTGAATTGACTTCTTTTTCTTCCTGAACTGGGGACCAAACTCAGAACCTTGTGCCTGTGAGGCAGGTACTGTGCCACTGAGCTAAATCCCTGGCCTTGAATTGATTTTTGTATGGAGTAGATGACAGGGATCTAGTTTCACTATTCTGTGTATGGATATCCAGTTTCCATGGCACCATTTCCCATTTGTTAAAGAGGCTGTCTTCTCCATGAATGAATTTATTAAGAATAAGAGGGTATAGTTGGGTCGTTATTGTTTTGTTTTGTTTTTCCTTGTATTAGGCACATTTCATTGATTTTCTTTCACAATCCTTCTACAAAAGAGCAGAGCTAAAAACCAAGGCCCTGGTAAACACTGAGAACCTTCTCTACCCTCATGTCCCCAGATGTGTCCCCACAGGGGTGGCAGACCCCAAAGGGAAGGTCAGCCTGTAACCCTGGGGAAGGCTGTGTTAGGAGGTGCCAAGAACCAGCAGGAGCTTAGAGCCCCAGAGGGCCAGGGCCAGAGCATGGTCTGGGAAGGGCACATCCTCCTCTGGCCTGGTGGCCCCCAGGAACAATGCTGAGTGCAGCATGTGACGGCCATGGGCCAGTTGCATGTTCTCAGCCAGGAGAGAGGTTGTTTGTTTGTATGTTTTTTTATTCTATTCCATTTGTCTGTGTGTCTGTTTTTGTGTCAGTCCGGTGCTGACTTTGTGACTGTGGCTTTGTAGTGTAGTTGGAAATTAGGTATTGTGGTGCCTCTATCCTTGCTCTTTTTACTGAGGATTGCTTTGGCTATTTGTGCCTTGTGTTTCCATATGAATTTTAGTATTTTTTTTTCTGTAAAAAATGTCACTGGAATCTTAATGGGGACATTGAATCTGTAGATTGTTTTTGGTAACATGGCCATTTTAATGATATTACCTCTGTCAATTTGTGAATATGGGAGGTTGTCTTCAGTTTCTTTGTTTAGTGTTACATAATTTTCATCGCAGAGTTCTAGTATATGTGCTGCTGAAGTGAGCACCATCATAGAGTTCTTTTACCTCTTCAATAGGGTTGATTCCTAGGGATTTATTTTTTGAAGCTGTTATGACTGGAATTGTTTTCCTGATTTCTTTTTCAGTGAGTTCCTATCAGTGTATAGAAAAACAATATATTGATTTTTTGATGTTGACTTTGTATCTTACTACCTAGCAAAATTTGTGTTATCAAGTCTAAAATCCTTTCAGTGTTGTCCTTAGAGTTTTCTAGGTATAGGATTATAGTAAGTCCCTTACTTAGGAACATTTGAGTTGTGAACTTTACATAATACTGTATAAGATTCACATTATGGTTGTTCTATGACTTTATCCCTGGAGAGGCTCAGTCTCAAGAAGACCCCTGTCCATAAATGGCTCTGTATGATATTACTGCTCAAAGATATGGTGAGCAACTGCAGTGGTTTCTTGTCCAGAGGTAACCTGCTGGGTGAGGAGTCACTTTCAGAGACAATCCCCAGAGTGGATTTACAGCTTGCAGAACTGTGGGTTTTTCCTGGGGCTGGTGCTCTGGTCCTTTGGCCTCTGCCAGGCCCATGGAGATCATGGTTATTTTTAAAGACTGCTTCCTCCTTTTCTCTCTGGTGCTTGTCTGTTTTTTCCATGCTCTTTAGCATTCCTGTCATCTCTGTGTTGATTCCTGGAACACTGCTTTTCTTCTTCCTTGCTGAGTGTGTTTCCCAGCTAGCTTGATTCCATATTATAGAGAGACCGAAACTGCTGTCTCTGCCTCCTCTGCTTTTTTTTTTTTTTTGGTGCCAGGGATCGTTCGAACTCGACCTTGTGCTTGCAAGGCAGGTTACAGTACCACTGAGCTAAATCCCCAGCCTGTGCTGAAAGTATTTTGAAGCAAGTCTGAGATATCATATCACTTTACCCCATACATGTAGGCCTAAAAGCAGTAGACACTTTTATATAACTAAAAGGCCACTATGCAATTTACTAAGAGCCAACCGTTGTGTTTTTTTTTTGTTTGTTTTTTTTTTTGGAACTGGGGATCAAACTCGAGCCCTTGCGTGGTAGACGTTGGAACCACTGAGCTAAATCCCCAGCCTCACCAGTGTGTTTTTGGTATCATGTAATATTCAGTTCACAATCAGATTTCTCTCATCCTTCTATAGTTTGTTCAAAAGATGATCCAGGCTAACACCACACCTTCAGTACTGTGCTTCTTAAATTTCTATTCATCTGGAGCAATTTCCCTCATTTTTTTTTGTATCCTGCCAATGAATTATTACAGAAACTGGGTCAGTTTTTCTGGAGGAGTGATGGCGAATCTGTTTGCCCCCGCTGTCCTAGAGAGTGTTTCATATGCTGGATTTATTGGTTATTTTCTTGTGATTTCACTCAGTTCCTGCTAGAGGTTTGATTAGATTCTCATTCAAATTTCTTGGCAGAAATATTTACAGGTCATACCATGTGCCTTATGTTGTATACGGATGCTCTGTGTTTTATTGTTCTACTTTTTCTGATGCTAAACTTTATCATAGGATTTGAGTTGTCAAAACAAATACTTGATTTTTCCCCCTAAATTTGCAACTTCTTATATTTGAGTAAATAGGACTGCCATTCATCCATGTATTTTAGCTGAAAATTTTCAAGTTATCCTTGGTAATCTCTCTTTCCCTAATCTTCCACACTCAGTCTCTCCAGGAAAAAATGCTACCTCTAAATCTTATCTGCAGTCCATCCACTTGTTTTGTATGCTGCCATCTAACTCAAGCTATCTAATCATCATCTCCCCCTCTTCTTCCTCCTCCTTGTTTGTTTTTCTGGGTAGTTAAACCCTTGTGTAGTAAGTAGGCAAGTGCTGCACCACTGAGCCACAACCTCAGACCTAAGCTGTCCTCCTTTTGTGCTTGTGATACTGCAGTATCCTCTTTGGTCTCTATTATTGCACTGGTGTTTTCCTATATGTGTCTACCACATATATACTACATTATGTATACAGATAAAATTATGGTATTACTTTTATTTTGTTCCTTCTATTTTCTCCCATAGGGTTGTAAGGCTATGGTTGACAAAAGCAGAAGGGCTGAAAAATATCTCTGTGAAACAAACCCTATGG